GAAACGGAAACAAAATGTTCGCGATTAAGCGACTGTCTGAGTTGGAATGACCAAACCGATTTTAGTGGCAAGTATAAAAAACGTTATCCAAAGAATGATTCCTAAATTTGAAAAGGAAAAAACGGGTCTACTTTAGGACATTTTTTAACTATAATAATAATGAATTCAAATAGTGAGGTGTCTGCTTCGTTAAGCTGAGAAAATCGGAAAAAAAGATCAAAAATTAACAGTGATTCCAGAAAAAAGCGATGAGAAGATTTTGGCTCTGATTGGCACTAGTAAAAAAATCAGTTGAATGCAAAAGCGGTACAGTAGCGACAGTTGAAACGAATGGTGCCACTTTGTTTCACTACGCTATCAGAGCTGAATGATCAGAGCTGATGAATCTGAAAAAATCCACTTTATAGTGAGGAATGATCAAGAGGTTCAAATCGGTCTAATATGCTATATCGAACTTGCTTTATTTGAACTAAAAATTATAAACAGTATTTATTATTCGATTTTTTTGCATCTTTAGTTGCAATCGAACTTTCTTGATACCGTTTATTTTTTAATTATCCTTTAATTAATTAATTATTAATCCAACACTGGAATTTGATTACTTAAATATTCGGGTGGAAACTAAGGCATCTTAAGATGAAACCTTCTCATTCAGACCCTAAAATGCGGACAAAAATCGTAATCCATAGCGCTAAGATATATTCAGATAAAAAATACGTCCCTATCAATATGAACTTTCAGCAGTTCTCACTTGCCTATAAAGTGCAAATTTAGTCAAAATCACACTTGAAAGTACCTAATTAACTTCCTTTACTGGCTCCAATTAAGCTGTACGCTCCTGCTAATGCCGGGGGTTAAAAGCTTGGTCAAACAGAGCTTCGAGTTTATTCAAACAGTTTACAGATTTCGTTTTTTTAATGGCACTCTTCCATGTTGGTTTTGTAGTAGCCATCTCCAATATTTGCTTTGCTGCCGGGTTTGTATCCGTTCTATCATCGCAGAATATACAGGGTGATTGATTTAGTCAGCGTCGCTTTAAAAGGGGTTCTAAAGCCTATTTAATTCAATAAACTGAACTGATTTATTTGAGACACATAGGCAGAAAATACTCATGCACGCCTATGCGACTTCCTAAGATGCTTCGACCACAATCTTCGGCGTGTGTCTTGGAGCGGATGTGGCCAAAAAATGAAATAGTTCCCATAATGGTCTTGTTTGCACTCACTTAAGTAGAGGGTGGGAGTGAGAAAAGCGGTAAATAAGGACAAGTCCTTCATCCGATAGAGGCCAGGTAGATAAGTTTTTAATATGGGAAAAGACAACAAAAAGAAGTGGATCTCTTTGATAAGGAGGAGTAATTATCAGCGTGTAGAACACAAAGCGGGCTCCCTGCCAGTAGACTTTTTTTAGGTTTTTTAGTTGGAAACTAAACTTATCGACAGGTGGACTATTAATGAAAAGACATTTCTTCGTCAGTACCACGGAGATTTCTGAATTGTAGATATTTAGTTTGGGTTAGTTTCTTTAGCTTTGACGGGGAGAATTGTGTATATAATGGAGATTTATTTGGTAATTAAACGACATCGTTCAGCTTAGTTTTCTTTATGACGATTTTTATTTTTTCAAGCGCAATTCTTGAGTTTTTTTCTCTAAATTAGAGAAAATGTACTTCTTCAGTTGTTGGTTTTTTGGTGTCTGAAGAAGCAGATCGTGCGATGGTTTGATGCATAGTTGTTTTTATCCAAATCAAATTTATTCCTGGGTTTCAGTCATTTATTGTCTCTATTTATTAATCAAAATACGTTTCGGTGTATTTTTCCACCATCATCAGTTTTTCTAAAATAACAGATAGTTAAAAAAATCCATTAATTTAAAAAACAACCACAGTTCGTCAATAGCCTCATCATATCACACATTAAAATACATCACAATTACAATACTTTAAAACATTCTAAAATTAATTAGGCCTAAGAGGTGATTAGTCAGGACAATCAAATTTGGGAAGAGACTAGAATTCTTCGTTCAGATACTTAATTATTTTTACTTACATGTGTAGCGTTGTTGCTGCCTTGGCATGCATTTGGAGGATTAATTCTGTCCATTATCGGACACAAAACGAATAAAATACTGTTTATATTTATTTCTTTTACTTTCAGCTATTTTTCTTTGCATTCTGAGGATATTATTTTTGGTTTGCAAAATTCTTCAATATACCGGGCGGTATTATCAAAGGCATAGCCTTTATCATTATCAAATGTTATGCCTTTGATAATGTTCACCGCAGTTGTGGACGAAACGTCAGGAAGAAATTCCCATAGACCACGGCTTCAAAGCCCGGAAAACATTCCTAAATATTTTTTATTTTTGTGTTAATTTCCGGTATATATGGTAATGATATATACTTGATATCACCTTCTATTCTTTTATGTATGTTTTTCCATTTAGTTGAATTGTATATTTTATTTATCCTTTGCTTTATGATTGGTTCGAAAATTGACCTTGGATAGTTGTTCATTAATAACATATTTTTAATTTTTTCAAGATTTTTTGTTCTATACTCCCAATGTGACAATTTAATGTCTCTATCTGTAAGTGCCGTTATTACTCTTTTTTTATATTTCATTGGAGCGTACGATTGATAATTCAGATACATACCAGACCATACCTATCTCAGTTGTTTTTATCGCAAGCTTAAAAAAACGTAGGAGGAAAAATTTGTCTTAACGAGTGATTTATTCCACAATTATTAAGTTGCTTCAATGGTAGGCGCAAAAGTACTTTGATTTCATATGTACATAAGAAAAACTATGTTCTTGTGTGTATGTATATGTATGTTCAATGTGTATTTCAATACTATGTATCTAGCAGAACATGCTTGTTTTGATGTCTTTGTCTACTCCTAAACGTTTGCCATTTTATAAATAAAACCCCGTATGTTTCATTTGGAAAACGATTTTAATTTTTTTAATGAAAATTCACAATTTCTATCCGCGTATATTTTTATTGCCAAGTCAGAGTTAAGGAGCATCTGTGGTTAGTTTTTAAAGTATGCTCTTCAAAACTTAAAATGTATGTCAATGTCAAACATGCATCAGGTTTAACCGTGTTTGGGGATACATTAAATAGGTTAATTCTTCTAGATAAGAGACTTGCGGAATACACAGTTTGGTGTTAATTGCAAATAAATTGATTCTTCTGAGGGAAATCTTGAAAAAAAAGTAGCGAAAAACTTGTGAAGTAAAGTTGAGCAGTTTTTCAACTGCTTGAGTAAAATCTTGTTCTCTTTATCTGGCTTTTGGTTTTGCTTCTTGCCTTTGTTGAATGCCTGTGTTGCCTTTGAGAGTTGACTCATAAAGCAGATATCTACCTACGTAATTTTAACGAGAAAATTCGCATTTGCAGGTGCTTTCAATTATTTGATTTCCAAAATTTTGCAATAATTTCCAATTTTTGTAAGCCTAATTTTTGTAATAAAGTTGCCTGCTATGTAAAAAAAAGTTGAGATATTTGTTAAGTTATGTTAAGAAACCTGTTTCAAGCCTGCCTGGGTTTCGTTAACATAATTACGTGCTTGTACTAAATATTGATTATTATTTAAGTCTTTATATAACTGTTATGGTCTCATTTATTATTTAAAATTTTTGAAGGTTATTTCTTTCTAGTGTTTACAGTTTGCAGTTGAAAACTTTGGAAGGGCTGTTGGATAAAGCTGGAATTAATCAGTTTAAACATATAAGTTCACTGCCAATGCAGATGGACATTTCACTTCCTTGGTAAAGTAAAGAAATATCGTTTCTTGCGTAAATGAACTACCACTGAAACTGAAAGTTATTATTTATCGTGTAAACGTTGATCCAAACTGGATTCTACCCTGTTTTTATTTAAACAAATTTTGGAAACCTTCGAAATTTCGTTAAAAAGTCATCTAACATTCACAAAACTGGTCTATTCGATAGGACACTTTCAGATGTATAAACAGCATGCAACAATTTGTGAAAAATACTGGTAATTGAGTCGTTTGTCACTCCAGTAGTTGATTTGTAATAAATGGCCATCGACGCCACTGCATGCATGCACAAAAGTCTACTTATCTCGATCGATTCACCGGCAACAAAAACCATCTCATTCGGTCTAATTTTCCCTTCGTATACACAACAACCAGAGTACAGTTACTATACCTGTTACAACCCTGTACGTGGGAACTGATCGCACTTCGTGGGTCAGCGTATGGGTATTTCTCACGGCGCCCCATTCCATACCATCACCTACCTGGGTGTGCTCAAAACTGATCGGATTGTTGCAATTTCCCATGAAAACCCACCAGGAAATTCAACATTTAAACTGAAAACATTTTATGACAAAGAGCAATTTACCTTGAGCACTTTACTTTCTGATCTAAATTGTTGCATTGGTCTTCTTTCAAAATCAGAAGCCACTATTTTAGAATAAAAAAACATTTTATAGCAAGGTGGGATTTACTTTAACACTTGGATTTCTGATCTAAATTGATGCATTCGTCTTCTTTGAATCAGAAACCATTATTTCAGAAGAAAAGTTCAAGTGTTTAGAATAAAAAACATTGAAATATAAAACATTTTATGACAAAGGGGACTTTCTTTTGAACATCTGGCTTTCTGTTCGTGTTATTTGGTATATTTTCAAAAGATAATTTACTTTTTTCAAGCGCTTTACGCAAATATTGTACCTGAGAAAATATGTTTTTTTACTCCCGATTCGGTTCTTGAGTACATTTTAGATACATTGACTTTAATTAACAAACTCTAAGAGTGCGTCAAAGGCTTCCACCTTATGTTCTTTAAAGATCGGAAATGAAATGTAAAACGTTCAACAAAAAAAAAACTCCAACTGACAAAACGCCCTGTTTTGTCAAGACCCACTGTTAAAAACGTTGTGTAAAAATTATTCTTCCTGTTTTTGCCGATTTTATACAGAAATAAACATATCATATAAATAATTCGACAAATCTTCCGTTCCTTTAAAGTAATCCAATACCAACAGTTACTGGAATACAGTCAATATTAGGCAACATTCACAAGTCCTTCAGACCTGTTTGGATCAACCCTGGTAGAACGGAGCCAAAAAGGCACCAATTCATAATGCAAGTGTGAGAGAGAGGTTTTTGGGTAGGGGTAGGTTCCCACGCTGTATCGGAATGTACATCGGAAGTTCAGAAAAATGGGTCTTCATTTAAGCATTAGTGACCAATGATGTTGGATCGAAGATCCTTCGACTGGGTAATCGATTATCGGATTTTAGTTTCGTGTTGAATCCCAGTTGAGCAAATCGCGCGAATATTAGCAAACACGTCATTTGGATTAAGGGATTTTTGGGTGAAAAGTGATCCAATAGTGAGCGCAGTTGATTTATGCATATTTCTATTGCAAGCGAAGACTCGTGAGTTTAAAGTGCAATTTGCCAAGAACTTTTTAAGAATCCGCAATGCCGCTCATTGATAATGAGTTTCAATCTTCGGATTTGCAAGAACCACAAGCAAACACCCTGTCGAGGGCTCAACTCCGTAAAAGCCATAAGCCCATTATGGAAAAGCGGCGTCGAGCCAGAATCAACCACTGCCTGAACGAAATCAAGAATTTACTACTAGAAGCAAAGAATCAAGACGTAAGTTGCGCCTTCATCAGAAATTTTCGTGGATTTTAGAACATTTTGCCCCATTTCAGCCCAGTCGTCATACGAAACTCGAAAAAGCTGATATTCTGGAAATGGCTGTACAGCACCTTCAGAATATCCAGCAGAAGCAAATTGCCTTAGCCGCTGCCAGAGATCCCACAGTCATTGGAAAATTTAAGAATGGATTCACTGATTGCGCCTCTGAAATCGACAGGTATGGATCACAAAAAATATATCAATCGTCACTATAAAGTGGATTTTTTCAGATTCATCAGCAGCTCTGATAGCGTGGACACCGGAATTCGGGACAGAGTGACGGATCATCTGCAAAAATGCATGTCTGATCTAAACAAAGTGGCCCCATTCGTTTCAACTGTCGCTACTGTACCGCTTTTGCATTCAACTGATTTTTTTACTAGTGCCAATCAGAGCCAATTTAAAGGAGGAACTGGAGACCAGAACAATAATCCACGTGTCCAAATTCCTCAGGGAATCCAGCTGATTCCTAGCCGGTAAGTA